GACTCACTTGGTAGCCCAGGCTGGCCTCAAACTTACAGAGATCTGCCTGGCTCTGCCTCCCGAGTGCTGGGATTAAAGGCGTGTGCCACCACCGCCCGACCCACATACACTATCTTAATGCTATTCTACCCAGGGTGAAATCTGCGGTGGTCCTCCAGAGAAATTATAGGCCTTTCCAAAAAGAGGAATAGCTCTGGGTTGTCATAAAGTAGAGAGAGCCAGCCAATGAAAGAAGAGGCTTTTCTTTTCTCTTCTTCTATTGTTTATGGGCGTTTTCTCTACATGCATATCTGTGCATCATGTACATGCTTGGTGCCCATGGGAACCAGAAGAGGGCATCACACTGATCCCCTAAAACTGGAGTTACAGACAGTTGTGAACTGACATGTGGGTGTTGGGAATAGAAGTCAGTTATTCCTAGGCTGGGAGTATGATTTACTGGTTAAGTACATCTCAGAACACATGACATATCTATCCCCAGGACTTCAAAGCAAAGAAAAACAAACTTCAAATTAAACAAACATCCTGTGGCCCATCAGATGGGCAAAACTGAGAAAGTTTGCTGACATTAATTTGGTAATAGTGTGGATTAATAGGCAAGCTCATGAATTGTTAGTGAATGAACAGGCTGTGGGTTTTTTGTTTTTGTTTGTTTGTTTGTTTTCTAGAGACAGGGTTTCTCTGTGTAACAGCTCTGGCTGTCCTGGAACTCAGAGACCCATCTGCCTCTGCATCCTGAGTGCTGGGATTAAAGGCATCACCACAACTGCCCATCGAAAGAACAGATTGTTATAACCTGTTTTATTTTATTCTAAGTTATACTTTTTTTTTGAGACAGAATTTCACATAGTCCAGGCTGTCATGGAACTCCTTATGTAGCCAAGGATAACCCTGCACAGGATACTGATCTTGCCTCCACCTCCCAAATACTGGGATTATAGGTTTGAGCCAGCATGCTAGATAGTACAACCACTTTTAAAGATGGCTTGAAATTTAAAATTCACAAAGCCAAGCTGGGCATTGTTGTAGAATATTATTATATTATTTTAAGATGTGTTACATTTGTTTATGCTGTGGAACATTTCCTTAAGGATGCAAAGATGTGTTGCATTTTTTTTTTATGTGCATTCGTTTAACTCTGTGAAGCTGTTACTGTGCCTGTCTAAAACACCTGATGGTCTAATAAAGAGCTGAACGGCCAATACTGAAGCAGGAGGAAGGATAGGCAGGGCTGGCAGGTAGAAAGAATAAATAGAAGGAGAAATCTGGGAGAAGGAGCAAGAGAACAAGGAGAGGAGGATGCCAGGGGCCAGCCACAGAGTAAAGTGAAAATAAGATATACAGAAGTAAGAGAAAGGTAAAAGCTCAGAGGCAAAAGGTACACGGGATAATCTGAAATTAAGGAAAGCTGGCTAGCAACAAGGCAAGCTAAGGCCAGGCATTTATAAGAAAGAATATGCCTCCATGTGTGACTTATTTTGGAGCTCGGTGATGGGCCCCCAAAAGAGCAAAAACAACCAACAACAGGGTATGCTAGCCACACCTCTTAATCCCCGCACTTAGTAGATAGAAACAAGCAAATCTCTGAGTCCAAGGCCAGTCTACATAGTTCCAGGACAGCCAACATTACACAGTGAGACCCTGTCTCAAAAACAAAACAAAACACAGAAAGCCACTGGCCCAACAACTTCCCTTTTAGCAGCTTAGGCTATAAATAAAGTTTACAGCTGGGCGGTGGTGGCGTACACCTTTAATCCCAGCACTCAGGAGGCAGAGCCAGGCAGATCTCTGTGAGTTCAAGGCCAGCCTGGTCTACAGAGTGAGTTCCAGGAAAGGCGCTAAGCTACACAGAGAAACCCTGTCTCGAAAAACCAAATAAATACATACATACATACATACATAAATCTTATATATGCAGAGGAACACACTACTCTATACTAGCTGAGTTCCTGGTAGTTTTTAAATTTGTTTTTAATACTAACACTAACTGAATATTAATTACAGCTTTGTTTTCAACTTCTAAGAATAATTATAAAGATAGAACTAGGCCACTCAGGAGTCAGAAGCAGGAGGATCTCCTAGTTCAAGGCCAGCCTGGTCTATAGAACAAATTCTAGGACAGCCAGGGCAACACAGAGAAACCTTGTCTTGAAAAACCAAAACAAAGAATTATAAAGATAATCAGAAAAGCCTGCATATCCCGAAGGCATCTAAATCCATGTATCCTTAAAACTCTTCCTAAAAGCATCTGTATTAATTGCTGGTCTTGTTGCTACAAGCTGCTCACCCAGGTACCTGCAGGGAGGGCTTATTTATGGTTTCAGTCCCCGAGAATACTGGCCATCATGACAGGGATGGCCAGGCAGTAGTATAAGGCTGTGGGCCATACTGTGCCCAGTTAAGCAGCAGCAATAAGCACTGGGCTCAGCTGGAGTTCACAATCATGATTTATCTATTTAAAATGAACAACTTCCAAAAAAAACGACAGTAAGAATCACCGGTACCATTGTGGAACCAACAGTAAATAACTCTTGCCTAGACAGCTGTGCTTACCAAATTTCTACACCAGACATTTGTGCTGAAATGCTCCAAACTGCATTACTGCTACCAAAATACTCTCTGGCTGGGTCCCTGCCAGTCAAGCTCCATGAAGAACAGGTTCAAAGTTCATGCACTTTGTCCTCTCCTTAATGAAACCTGCTCAATGTGCATCTCATGACCATTAAATTTAGACATTGTTTGCAAAGTGTGATCCAGGGCTCCTAAGGCTAGAATATGAACAGATTAAAGTAGTTCCTTATTCTGGTTCACAGAGGGAGCCCCTGAGCTGGAAACATGGCATTTAAATATCATGCTATTGTACGAGGGGTCTTAAAGCTGCATTTGGTTCTGTCTAATTTACAGCTGAAGGACCCAACTGGGTGTCCTCCAAGTCACTTCCCTGTCTCTCTTTGAGGGTCAGCTACTTCATGCTTGGGAGCCTAGCACCCCCGGGAGTGACTGGGACCCAGGATATCCTAGATTCATGTTACATGAGACAGTAGCAGCTGGCAGCTAATTTCTGGTGCCTTGCTCCTCCTTACTGGGCCAAAGGCTTCCTATGAGCTGTGCAGTCCCAGTTCCTTCAACTACCAAATAGTAGGACTTCTCGGGCCTTCCTCTCCTCTCCTGTGATCTGTGTATTTTTATCATCTCATTCCTCTTTTGGTGGTGCCAGGGGTTAAACTCCAGGCAAGCACTCTTAACACTGAGGTCCATGCCCGGCCTTACCTAAGGCTGTTTACGCAACTACTTAGAGCTGGACCTACAGTTTTGAATTAGCAGTGGGTCCTCCCGGTGCTTCCATTGGCAATCAAAAACAAACTCTGCTAACAGTTCCCTGCTCTATACAAGTAAACCTGACTTTGAGAAGCTTTTTAAAGTGACATTTGTGTCAGGGGAGGAGCGCACACACCAAGGTGCACTTGTGGAGGGCAGAGGACAACTAGCAGTCTTGGTTCTCCCCTTTCACCTTGTGGATCCTCCGGGTAGAACTCGGGTCATCAGGCTTTGCGGCAAGCGCCTTTACCCTTCCAGCCACCTCGTTAGCCTTCATTCTTTCTTCTTCCACCCTCTGTAACAGCGTTCTCAACCTTCCTAATGCTGCGGCCCTTTAATACAGGTCCTCA